AACAGATGGAAGACCAGACGTCATTGTTCATCCCAGAGACCAGCAGTGTCTTCAAACAGCAACCTTCCAACGCAACACCATCTGTTGGTGGCTTTGGCTTCAACGCGACCGCATCTCCCTTTCAGCCGAATGGCAACTCCACCACAACTTCAAATCCATTCGCGAAAGCCGTCCAGCCTGGCCTTTTCGATCCTTCGAAAAACAGCATTCAGTTTGGGCAACCAGCGGATGCGAGTGCCAATCCATTTTTGCGCAAGGACACCATTTCATTCCAGTCGACACCGACTGCACCATCATCAAACCCTTTCCTAAAGAACAACACTGCGCAACCGGAATCTACGACGCCACAGACCGCCGCAAATCCCTTCTTGAAGTTCAACAATGCTGCGAAGTCCGAGCCAACCACCACACCGACTCCCGCAAATCCCTTCCTGAAGAACAACACTGCGCAGCCTCAGTCTACAACACCACAAGATCCAGCGAACCTCTTCAACCCAATAGTAGAGTTCTCACCTGCTCGGGCGAAAGCTGAAGCTGAATTCCAGAAAGGATTTCATTGGGGCGAAGAGCTTCCTGCTACGACTACACCGACTACCGTGAGTCCTTTCTTGAAGAACAACGCCGCGGCTACGACTACACCCAAGGCAGCTCCTGCTTTCAACTTTACTGGGTCTTCGTTCAATGCTACACCCTCGCAAGAAACCCCACAACAGTCCTTCACCCCATCAGGAACACCGCCTCCGACGGATACTTCTCCACAAGAAGATGAAGCACAGAAGGCAGAGAAGGAAGCAGCTGAGAAGCAACGGAAACTGGACGAAGCACGCCAACGAGTACAGGAAGCCCAACGAGCAAAGCAAGCGAAGGAAGCAGAGCAGAAGCGTGAGGCTGAGGCTGCGGAAGCTGCGGCTGCGCGACAGCGGCAAGAACAGGCTGATCGAGAGCGCAAGGCACGCGAGCAGCAAGAAGAGTTGGCTCGACAGGCGAGATTCCGTCAAGCACAAGAGGAGGAAGCACGGCAAACACGGATACGAGAGAAGGACTCGGCATTGCATGCGCTCACGGCGGATGTTATGTTCCACCCCCAGGAGGGATTGCTGATGCAGTTCGTCGAAAACGCTGCTATGAATTTAGCGAAGGAAGCTGCAATCACTGTAGAGATGGAGAGGAGAGTGGCGATGGTAGATCAGAAGCATAAGAGATATCTAGATGAGTTGAAGCGGGCAGGCTTGGCCAAGATGATGTTGGCGGTGCAAAAGAAGAGGAAATTACAGAAGGCACGAGAGAGGAGGAAGCGACTGAAAGAACAGCGGGCAAAGGCGGAGGCCGGACCAGACGAAGAACCGGCAGACGCGCCTGCACCGGTACAGCCGGCAACATCGAACGGTAAGACGACAGCAGCAGTACCACCAGAGGGGCGATCGGTGTCTCAGCAACCTTCGAATTCCCGGCGCGCCAAACGAACGCAACAGCGACACCAGGCTCAGAGCTCGGAGACGAATGGTGTGAACTCAGCCAAATCAGTGCCGGTCAACAACCCATCTCCTGAGTCTACCTTTGACAAGAGCATAAGCAACGCCAGCACATCAATCACCGCATACTCCCAGGCATATCAGCAAGCCGTTGCGAATGCACCAGTAGACCGGACCGAGACGGATTGGTTCAGGTTGCGCGCTATGGGCATCGATCCGAGCAAGCACCGGAAGCGCAGCTTCGACTTTGGTTCATCAGACGAAGAGAAGCCCAAGCTCATCGAGCCCAAGCGACCCAAGTTGTCACCAGCGTCGCCTGCACCGGAGCAACATGAGCAGTCAGCACCGAGAACTATGCTCGAAGAACAGCGCGCTCGTGCTGATGCCATCAAGGAGTCCTTTAGGCAGTCAACATCCACGACATCACCGTCTCACTCCTTCAACGGCGCAATGTCGTTCAGCGGACGGTCTTCATTCAACGATTCCACGAACGATCTGATTGCAAGGGCGCGACGGACGCTGGCAGATTCAAGAGCTGAAATGCCGCCTCCTTCTTTCACCCCAGGCAAGTCGTTGCATCGATCAGGATCCTTGGACGCGAATGCCAGCCAACTTATTGCACGAGCTAGAGGTCTTGCTTCTCCGGCCGCCACTTCTTCAAATGTCCAACACGACTGGAGTCGCAGCGTACCCAACCTTGGACTCTCTGCATCTCAGAGCCGACAGTCCACATACGGCACATCGACATACGGCAGCACCCTCCGCACTAGCACATCCACCAAGAACCGTCCAGCATACTGGGAACGCACAAGCCGCTTCGTACCACGCCATCTCTACGGCCAAGGCGCGGAAGCCGTACGCGCATACCGAATCGAACAGGGTCTCAGCAAATCACCCGCTAGCACCCGACCCGCCAGCACAGAGCCACTGGATATCTCGTCACCGATACCCACACAGCTTTCCTTCGTCCAGCAGACTTCATCCCAGCCGGCGAGCTACAAGCAAGACCAGTTCACTAGCGATGTTGCATTGATGAACGGCGCACACGTCATCGATGTCGATGCTCAGGATGAGCACGCCATCATGACCGACAACGAAGAGGACGTCCAGTCTTATGGCCACTTTGGCACTACATCGTCTTATCCCGAAGCCCAGTTTACTCCTTCCCAGGCTGTGCCCTACCAGCAACATCAGGAGCAAGAGCAGCAGGAAGAGTACTACGACCGAGACGCAGCCCAAGACGCAGACTCTGAGATGCAGGACGGCGACGACGAAGAACTGCTCGATTACGACGAAGACTCCGATCTCGATGAGGAAGACGAGATTGAAGAAGATGAGGATGCAGAGTCCTTCGACGAAGAAGACGAGGACGAAGACGAAGATGAAGACGATGGTAGTGAGAACGGCAGTGACGAAGGCGGCGGTGCAGCAGACCCCGGTGCAAACGGCAAACCAGGTGCAACGGAAGACGATGCCATCGAACTCTCAGATTAGTCGTCTGATTCTTCCGTACCCGTACCCTGGCCTTCCCTTCACTATTGAACTGCGCGTCACACCATGGACAGGAGGAACGAAGTCAGAGATATTGGAGGAAGGAGTGTATCATATGAAGATTTTGTATGCATAGCGAGGGCGTTTCTTGGGTTTTTATCTGCTTCAAACACGAAAGTACTGCATAGCATGGTGTGGAAATGGATTGGGTTGGATTGGACTGCACTGGGTATGGAGTCATGATACCCAATGGGCGTATGTATGGTATGGGTGGTGGAAAATAAGGAAATGCATAAAGTTGGAAAGCACCGTATGGTGTGAGCAAGAGAGATGTATTAAATGTGTGTTATGATGTGCTTGATTGTGTTTTGCTACGTGGTTTTGGATGTGATGAGTGAATGAGTGATGCGTGTTGGTTGTGGTTGCGGTCGTTGTCCTGGGGCTTGGTGATGTGATGTGATGTTGGTGGTGCAATATGGTAGTGAATTAGTCGACGTCTTTCCCATCCCTTCCATTATTTAATGGGCGGATTCAGTCATCGTGTATCTCGTGTGTGTTGCGGGAATCGTGAGTGGCTCGTCGTTGATGGGTCATCGCGGTACCATGGGAGAGAGTGAATTAGTCGCTTGGTCGGGGTTCCCGTGTATGTTCTAGTCCCTGTAGGATGGGTCTGCGGATTGTTGTGATAGTAGTCCAGGTAGGCGTTCTTCTTCGAAACTTTACAATTCACCCAGGACTACACTTGCGCCGGACCGTTCCTGTAGAAGGACGTGCTCTTCATCGTACATGAAACACCTCCTCTGATCCGCCCCGAGCCTTGTGTGACTGCACTGCCTTGCCGTCCATGATACCATGCACGTAAGCCTGGCCAAGTAGCCAATAACCGTCGCCTTTCTTTCGCAGGATGAAGGGCCATCTACCTCCTCTTAGGACTACAACGACATCTCCGGTTTGCATGCACCGAGGCCCTATACCCACGCGCCCAGCCCCGGTAACGAAGAAACGGCGGCCCACACAATAGTCAACGCGAGAAGCGTTGTACATCGACTTTATCTCTTCCAGATCAAAGCCTCTTCTCACCCTGTCGCCATCTGAGGCTCGATCATTTTCGTTTGAGGCCAAGCTCTTGAGATAATATAGAAGAACCTGTAGATCACTTGACTGTGCGCGTCCTCCGTCCCAGGTCATGCCACCCACAAGAGTAAAAGCCGTGGCTAGATAGAGCTCTTCCTGACTCTCGACGTTGCAATGGCGCAAGACTATGCCTTTGACAGAGATCAGCCACTCGTTGAACTCTTCGTGGATCTCCCAGGTACTTCTCAGGCACGAGGCGGTCGTTTGATATACTTCATCGACCGCTATTCCTTGGAGAAGCAGCACTTCTGCGCCAAGAGAAACATCATCAAGTAAAGATGGCGCCTCGAGACCGTCACTAGCACTGAGATGAAAGGGTAGCTCTACAGCATCTCCAGTTTCTCGTTGCATATCTGCGCGAATGGCCCATGTCGGAAACGATTGGGAATCGGCTAACACATCGAAGTGGTGATCGATCAGCTGAAAGGCGAATAGATCACCTGTTTGACACAGAGAATACCGTGTAGCATCTCGCAATACGCTAGAAAGCGGTTTTGCATAATCAACCTCAAGGAATGCCGCTCGACTGCTTTTTAGAGACGTGTCTTTGTCCAGTAAGCCCAAAATGGCAAAGATGCTATCTTTTGGCTCGGTCTTTTCGAATTTTCGAATGGTCGCGAACATATTGGCTAGATCTTCGCGATTCAAAACAAAGCGATGGTCTGGGCAGATCATCTCGAGCATCTCGGAGGCACAAGGCAAGCCATTGTGGTTGTAAAGACTAGAAGGGGTGGATCGATATTTGTACCTGAGCCATGGTGCAGCTCGTACTATATTGAGAAGATCGAAAGTGTAAGTGCCCCAATGGCAGGTATTGGATGACGCAAGAACCACTTCTTGAAGCACCCACAGACGCCTATAATCGCTGAATTCAACTTGACGTGAGATAGTCGGCGTACAGTCTTACCTGAACCAGTGGTGACTGAATAGGGCTTCAAGAGCTTCGAAGTCGATACTCGCGCTAAACGGTTCGTTTGAGTATGAAAGAGTGCCCGAATTCTCATTGCGCATGGTTTCCCACACTAGGGTGAAGTCTGCAGTCGTGGGACGCATGTCGTCCATAACGTCCCCGAGAGCCTTCATAGCTCTCTCAGCCATGTCGTCGTCATCTTCGCCAAGGTAAACGAGATTGTGTTTCGCAGTGCTGTACACGGTCGCCATCAAAGCTACTTGTGCACTGCGTTCTGTCATCGATGACTGATCGATACATATTGCATCGATCCAGAGTACCCGCGGTCGGTCGCTGAGTCGCATGCGCCTAACAGCAGCCTCTGAGCTTGCCGGTACTGGTGTTAGGTGTCCATTGAGCTCTATGGTGGACGGATCTCGAGGAGCTCCCCAGCAATATGAGATAGTTTCATAGGCTCGTACGTGGCGGGTTCGTACGCGCCAGGTGCGCAGCGAGATGCGTTTCATCTTGCACTTGATCATGTCGTCGCCACTTCCGGGCGCAACCTCCAGGACGCGTATCTCTTCGTGCGATAAAGGGAGAGCTTCGTATGGCGACTGGGACCTGGAAGTAGCGTTCTTGGACACGGTTGCCCCCATTGTGACGTTGGTATGAGCACATGCTCTTGGGAAGGTGGACGGAATGCTGGGGCAAGTATGTAGGCTGAGAGGCAGCAGGTTTCCTTGAGCAGACGGACCAGGCTGAAGACGAAATGCGCGGATGACACCCTCTGCGGAAGGCTGAAGCTCTTGGCTTCTTCCTACCAATCGCGCAACGTCTCCAGCCAGTCCAGTGACAGCGGGGCAAGCCACAATAAGCAGTTGTCAGCTCATGACGCTCCATGAAATTCGATCCAGCTCCGTTCAGAGCAGCTGTAGGCATTGCTGTTGCGATGGCCGAGGCCTTTCGAGGTTGATCTTCGACGAGACGTGACTGGCACTAACTAGCCCTGGAGGTACCCGTCACGGGTGGACGATGGTCGACCAAAGACGCTAGTCTGGGAATGGTCTAGTCAGTTGCGGGGCATCTTCGGGACCCGCTGCCATCAGCCACATGTGCACTGTTACCATACCACGGCTGGACACGTCTTAGTGCTCTTCTGAAAAGGTCTTGTCCTCAAGACAAATCACGAACTATGGCTACAAGACTTTGGCTATGGCTCTGCATGACCTGGACGTTTGCTGCTGCAGCGTCCACCACGACGAGGCTGAAGTACATCATGTATCTGACAGGGTAAAGCCAAAGCCTGCGAGTACTATATGCAACGACGTCGCTGATGGTTATCAGGCAACATAACGTGGTGCCGGAGCTAAATCTGGTATCGAACATTACTGATGTGGCCCTCGCCTTCATGCGTTCTGATACCTTCAACACTCCAGAGCAAGATGAATGGCCGCTCTTCACCACCATTGAAGAAGTCCGGCCCAAGTTTGCGGATGGAACGATCATCCAAGTTGCGATTGGCGGATGGGGTGACACGGATGGCTTCTCGGCAGCGGCCAGAACAGAGGAAAGCCGGAAGCTATTCGCTAGCAACGTCAAAGCCATGCTCGACGCGACCGGTGCTGACGGTGCGTTGCATCTTAAAGTCTCCACTTTAGAGGTATTTGCTAACCAGAATAGGCATCGACATGGATTGGGAATACCCAGGCGGCAACGGCGAAGACTACAAAACACCTGGCCATCTCAACTCCAATAAAGCTTGGGAAATGATTGCCTACCCCAAGCTACTAGCAGAAATCCGCTCGGCAGTAGGGTCTGAGAAGACCATCTCAGCAGCCGTTCCTGGTCTACCACGCGACATGCTAGCCTTCACACCTTCCACCATCCCCGCCATCATGGAATCAGTCGATTACCTGAACATTATGACATACGACATGTTCAACCGTCGCGACAACGTAACAAAGCATCATACCGGTATCCAGAACTCGCTTGAAGCCATCGATGCATACCTCGACGCCGGCGTACCGCCTGAGAAGGCGAACTTGGGACTGGCATTCTACATCAAATGGTACAAGACCGCTGCCAATTCGACATGCAGTGTCAACCCCATCGGCTGCGCGACAGAACTTATGGAGGATCCCACCACGGGCGCTGACCTAGGGAAAGCCGGCGCATTCTCATGGCACGACTCTGTTCCCGAAGAACTGTCCGCATCATATGAGCGTGCGATGGAGAAGGGCGTGTATGATGATGTTGGCGGTGGACAGTACTACTGGGACGCTGAAGAGAGATTGTTCTGGACCTGGGATACGCCTGAGGCTATTAAGCGCAAGATGCATATCATCATGAAGGATAAGGGGCTTGGTGGTGTGTTTGCATGGGGATTGGGAGAAGATGCACCAAAGTTCGAGCATTTGAAGGTAAGTAATGAGGCGGTGGCGGCATTGGACGGATGCAAGAATAGGCGTAGAGAGACGTCTGGTGAGAGGAGTGAGCTGTAGTTATTGAGACAGGGATGTGTGCAGATTTGCTGGTATTGCACAGAATGCGCTAGCTCATGATGAGTTTAGCTCTAGCAACCGGCGAAACCTCGGGCGGGCAACGTAATAACCGGCCTTCGCCGCTGCCATCCTGTCTTCGAAGTGACGATACCTTAACCTTAGAACACTCTACTGTACTATGTGACCTTCCGTATCACCCTAATATTCCCTCGAATTCAACTATCCTACCTCCTTCGCGTTCGGCCCGAAGAAGCTTGCCGCCAACCGTGCCCGTCCATTTCCTCGACCACGTCGCCATCGCTTCCTCCCGTAATGTCCTCCAGCTTGCGCTTCCTGATCGTTAACGAAGGAAAGCACGCTTGCTCGTTTCCGTGTACTTGGGATCTGCTGTTTGCCACAATGATACTGTCGTTGGCATCCCCAATGACGCTGTCGACTTCTTCCGCGACGCCGGTCACGTCGTCTCCGAAGACGCTGTCGATGGTGTCTGGTACCTCTTCTAGAACGGGGACTGCGGGTTGGTGCGTGGCGCTTGGGATATCTGGCTGCTCTTGGATGTCTTCATCGGGAGGCATGATATCCTCTTCGTCCTCGCTGTCCGGAACTTCGAAGCCATGGGGAACTCCAGTCATCTTTGTAAGAGCCTCTCGACCTATTGGGAGTCTTACGATGAGTGAAGGTCTCATGGCTGTCGCTGTGCTGGGCGTCGGCTCATGCTGTATTTCGCTCATCCATTTCAGGGTAATGTTGATATAATCCAGGGCGGCAATCATACAGGCGTCAAACCGACGCCATCGGATGGCACAGTCGCTCAACCCTGCTATCATGGCGTAGTAGGCGATGACTGCGCATAGCATACCGCGCCCATCCTTGACACCTTCGTCTGTTTCTTGATGTAGGAGACAGAAAGGCGATTTGAGATGATTCGCTTTTCGCAATAAGGACGACGCAGATCGTGGGTATAGTTGAGCCGTTTCCGCGCCATTCGAGTGAAGCTGCACCTCGTCGCGAAACACGATCAATGGCTCACTTCCATTGCTATCGAGGAGTATGTACGCCCACACGGGAACTGTTATACCATCACTCTGCTTTCGGTCCCCGAGTGGGGCTTTCAAAGCTTTGCGTCCCTGTAGAATTGCCTGGTCGAATGTGGGTGTAGCAGGAGAGAGCACTTCCTCTATGACTGTGAACAAGCCGCGGCGCACTAGCGTGGCGTTCAGTCTGTTGATGCAGCGTTGCCATCGTAAGGGCAGTACCGCTTGAGTCTCCTTTGCAGTTGTCATTGACAGGCGATGCAGTACTATTGTTGAACTTTGGTATCTGGGAAGGCAAGAGCAAATGCAAAATCAGAGCCGACTGAACGCTAGTGGTATAATCGACGCACAGATCAGGCCTACAAATTTCGTAGCAACTGGGTCGTCATACATCTAATTCGAAGACCTCACAGCGCTGATGTGCTGACTGCGACATGCTCAACGGTGTGTGTGGTAATGGAAAAGCTCCCAGGTACTCAGGTACTGATAGAGTATGTTCGCAGAGTTGCACCAGCATGAACTGTACCTAGGAGGTACTCAATGTCGTCTACAGAAACAAAAGCTCAAATTAAATACAGCGAATACCTCCCGGGTACCTCATGGCTAGGCTACACCTTCTCCATCGAAAGCGCGCTAGACCCACGCTAACCCCATTCATACAATGCAAACGCCGTGATCAACACAAAACATGACGCGACAACCAACTCAGCTACCTTACACCGAAAGCACCTGCTTCAATCTCAGCACTGGTCCCAACGATTATGGAGGGCTCAGTAGGTGCGGCCGATACGGCTCTTGCCGAAACCCGAGCCCTAGTCCCAGTTCTCCGCCATCTCCCTGTCACCAAGGTCCGGCTTGCCGCCTTCGTGGACCACAAGAGCGAGCGTCCGAACATGATGCCATTCCGTATGTTCTTCGGTATCATCAAGGACGGGAAGGATAAAGATTGCGAGGTGTGGATTCTACTGCAGAACGACCACGCCGCTGGCCGCTCACCCGAGCAACGCTTCAATATCTTCGACCGTTTCGGTAAGCTCCGAGGAGCCACAAGCGCGGAGGAAGCGGCGAAGTAAGTCATTCCTGCTGTATGAGCTAATGTAGAACACGTACTGACCTCTTCAGACTCACTCTTCCGGCAGCTGCGTTCAAGTGCCTCAAGAAAGCGGGCACTATGGATATGGACCAGCTCCGCGTAGTGATCAAGTACTACTTCATCTTCAAGGGAGTTAATACACCAGTACCATGGATAGTCAGTGGTTACTTCACCACTTGGCTGACTGCGGCATGCAAGATGGCTGGAGAGTACGCTGTAAAGGTCGCCGCAATCAGTGAGAAAGAGAAGTCACGCGCCTCTGCTGCACAGAATGCGTACACTACCAAGCCCTCTGTCTCTCAGTCTAGGCCAGAAGGAGATGGCTCGGTGGTGAGGACGCACTCTTCGCCCGCTCAGGACGTGCACGCTGTCAAACGGCCGGTCTCTCAGTCTGGAGCAAGAGCTGGCTCGGTGGTGAAGGTGAACGGCCAGCCCGCAGCAGTCAGTCCTCCAGTCAAACTGGCCAAGATTAGGCGCGCTCCGCAGCCCACCCCTCAGCGCGCTCCCACGGTCTCTATGATTCCCGCAGTACAAAGAAAACCGAGCTTGTTTATCCCCGAAGGCGATTCTCTCAAGAGGGCTCGCACCATGACCCCGGATCTACCCAGGAAGCGAGTGACTACGAGCACACCACCACCGCGATCGACTCCTTCAGCGGCTACAGTACAACCCTCGTCCTCAGCAATGGTCAACACTGGCCAAGGTTTCCTCATCCACTCGGACCCCGTTGAGGCAGACAACAGCGACGCCATGGACACTTCGCGTACCTCATCAACACGCCGGGACTCTACAGAGGTCCTTGTAAGTTTCATCTGATCAACTAAAATCCATTTCATACTAATAGGCTACCAGGTCGAGAAGAGCCCCAACTCCCAATCATCCATTGAGTTCGCCGACGCCTATCGTAACGCCCTCGACAAGAAGAGCAGGTGCAAGGAAAACATCATGATCAACAAGGAGAAGCAGGAGGATGTGCACGATGAGATCAAAGCTCTTGAGACTCAGCTAGCCGACATGCAGGTGGAGGG